TATACCGGTTCGCACACTTTAGGGGAGCTGACGTCCGTGTCCTAGTTCCGTCCCTTTCACTTTCTCGGGTGAGGCAGGACGCCCCGTCGGAGCTGGGGTCCGCTTTTCGGGATTTTGGGGCGAGCTTTGCGGCACGCTCTGACTTTGCCCAGGAAGTTGTAGGGGTGCGTGCAGGTCGTCTGAAGTCACGGTGACCCTAAGTTAGTTTTCTTTTTTCTTTCTTTCTTTCTTTCTTTCTTTCTTTCTTTCTTTCTTTCTTTCTTTCTTTTAATATATATTTTATTGATTTTTGTACAGAGTGGAAGGGAGAGAGATAGAGAGTTCGAAACATCAATGAGAGAGGGTCATTGATCAGCTGCCTCTTGCACACCCCCCACTGGGGATATGCCTGCAACCAAGGTACATGCCCCTGACCGGAATCGAACCCAGGGCCCTTTAGTCCCCAAGCCGACGCTCTATCCACTGAGCCAAACCGGTCCCGGCCCTAAGTTAGTTTTCTATGTGGATGATGCCACCCACTCACAGCCCTGTGGGAGGATTATATGAGGATGTATATACGCTACTTGGGTTATTATTATTATTTTAAAAAATATATTTTATTGATTTTTTTACAGAGAGGAAGGGAGAGGGATAGAGAGCTAGAAACATTGATGAGAGAGAAACATCCATCAGCTGCCTCCTGCACACCCTCCACTGGGGTTGGGAATCGAACCTGGGACACTTGAGTCTGCAGCCTGATGCTCTATCCACTTAGCCAAATGGGTCAGGGCTGCTTGGTGTATTATTAACATCCATGAAGGGCAATGTCTTAGTCATCTGTTGCTGTGTAATGAGCTGCCACACATTTAGCAGCTTTAGAGAAAGCTCATTCCCGCAGGCCAGGCGTCCGGGCATGGCCTAGCTGGGTCCTCGGCTTTGGAGTCCCTTAGAAGGCGTCATCAGGTTGCTGTCCGGGGCTGGGGTCTCATCTGAAGGCTCAGCTGTGGAGAGATCCCCTGCTAAGCTTCCAAGCAGTTGCTGGCACAATTCCAGTCCTCGAGTGGCTTTATTTTCATTTTTTTAAATATATATTTTATCGATTTTTTTTTACAGAGAGGAAGAGAGAGGGATAGAGAGTTAGAAACATCGATGAGAAAGAATCATCGATCAGCTGCCTCTTGCACACCCCCCACTGGGGATGTGCCCGCAACCAAGGTACATGCCCTTGACCGGAATCGAACCTGGGACCCTTCAGTCTGCAGGCCGACGCTCTATCCCCTGAGCCAAACCGGTTTCGACTTATTTTCATTTTTTTTTTTTTAATCTTCACCTGAGGACATTTTTTCCGTTGATTTTTAGAGAGAGTGGGAGGAAGAGGAAGAGACAGAGAGGAACACCAATGTGAGAGAGACACATCGATTGGTTGCCTCCTGTATGTACCCCAACCAGGTGCTTGCAACTGCGGTACATGCCCTTGACTGGAATTGAACTTGGGTCCCTTCAGTCTGCAGGCTGAGGCTCTATCCACTGAGCCAAACTGCCTAGGACTTGAGTGGTTTAGATGAAGGACCTCAGTTCCACTCTGGCTGTTGGCTGGAGGCCACCCTCCATTCCTGCCATGTGGGCCTCCCCACCAATGGCAGCTGGCTTCATCAACACCAGCCAGACAGACTCCATGGACTTTGCTAGCAAGACAGAAGCCACAGTCCTACGTAACTTGCTTGTACAAGGGACATCCCATCTCCTCTGACATATTCTTTTGGTTCAAAGCAAATCATAAATCCCACCCCTGCTCAGAGGGAGGAGGGTACATGAGGTGAGTACCATTGGGAGAGACATCAGAAGCTGCCAGGCCCTAACCGGTGTGGCTCAGTGGATAGAGTTGTCCGCCTGTCGACTGAAGGGTCCCTGGTTCGATTCCGGCCAAGAGCACATGCTTGGGTTCCAGGCTCGATCCTCAATAGGGCCCTACAGGAGGCAGTTGATCAATGATTCCCTCTCATCACTGATGTTTCTCTCTCTCTCTCTCTCTCTCTCTCCCTCTCCCTTCCTGTCTGAAATCAATAAAAATATATTAAAAAACAAACAAACAAAAAAATAAGCTGCCAGGTACAAACCCTTAATTTAGGGAGAGGGAACAGCATAATGATTAAGAGGGATGCTGTCCATGTTACTTGCACTGACTTTAAAATCCCAGATCTAGCCCTGACCGGTTTGGCTCAGTGGATAGAGCGTCGGCCTGCGGACTCAAGGGTCCCAGGTTCAATTCCGGTCAAGGGCATGTACCTTGGTTGCTGACACATCCCCAGTAGGGGGTGTGCAGAAGGCAGCTGATGGTTGTTTCTCTCTCATCAATGTTTCTAACTCTCTATCCCTCTCCCTTCCTCTCTGTAAAAAAATCAATAAAAATATATATATTTAATAAAAAAAAGAATAGGCTACCCGGAGAGACAGGTTCCCGTGGGCGAGGCTGCGGCAGGGACACCTGTATTTGCAGGTGAAGTGCCCAGCTGACTGCTGTCAGAGGTCTAAGGCGCTGAAACCCAGACCCGATCTCTCTCCCTAGGTGTGGAGGGCACGAGGGAAGGTCTGAAAACCCCATCTTTCTGGTGGGGGAAGAGAAAGGGGACTCTGCCCAACTTGTTAGCGCCCTGTATAAGGGAGGCAGGGTTTTAGCACAATCCAGTCCTTTAAAAACCTCTACTCCCACCGAAACCAGTGTGGCTCAGTGGATAGAGGATAGAACCTGGGGACTGAAAGGTCCCAGGTTCGAGTCCAGTCAAGGGCATGTACCTTGGTTGCAGGCACATCCCCAGTGGGGGGAGGGGTGCAGGAGGTGGCTGATCGATGATTCTCTCTCATCGATGTTTCTGACTCTCTATCCCTCTCTCTTCCTCTCTGTAAAAAAATCAATAAAATATATTTAAAAATAAAAAAATAAATATAAATAAAAAAAAACTGCTATCCATCCCACGGCCCCCTCCTTTCACCCGTGCTGCCCAAGAATCCCTCGTGAGCAAGTGTTTCCCCCTGTGGTGGGGGACTCAGACGATTAGCAAAACACGCCGCCTGGGTCGGCGGCAGCACAGCTGGGCCTCCAGATGTCAGCCTGCCCGCGTGGGCCTGGGCGGCAGACCGTGTTCAGGCGCACGCTCGCCCCCCAGGCTGCCCTGGACGCCAGATGCGGCAGCTGCAGCGAGAACATTCCTTTTGTTTTCACAGCGCTCACCCCGTGCTGGAGGGGGTAGGTCTAGGGCTGAGTGAGTGGGTGAACTCGGTCGCTGTTGAGAGAAGAGAGATGACTGGGTAGTCCACATTCCCAGAGGCACTTCTTCTTCTTTAAAAAAAAAAAAAAAAAAAAAAAAAAAAAAAATATATATATATATATATATATATATATATATATATATATATATATATATTATTGATTTTTTTTACAGATAGGAAGAGAGAGGGACAGAGAGCTAGAAACATCGATGAGAGAGAAACATCGATCAGCTGCCTCCTGCACACCCCCTACTGGGAATGTGCCCGCAACCAAGGTACATGCCTTTGTCCAGAATCAAACCCGCGACCCTTCAGTCTGCAGGCTGATGATGCTCTATCCACTGAGCCAAACCAGTTTCCGTTGCCTTATTTCTTAATGCTCATTGTCAAGATCTAACTAATTCGCCACTCAACAGAAAAATAGATAATATGCTAACAGTTAATAATCACATGAAGAATTTACAGGTGTGTGGAATGAAAAAGCTGCAAAGTAGAGGCAAGATTAGCCAGAGAGCGGAAACCATTTTGGCTCAGTGGATAGAGCGTCGGCCTGCGGACTGAAAGGTCCCAGGTTTGATTCTGGCCAAGAGCATGTACCCTGGTTGTGGGCACATCCCAGGGGGGGTGTACAGGAGGCAGCTGGTCAATGATTCTCTTTCATTGATGTTTCTAGCTCTCTATCCCTCTCCCTTACTCTCTTCAAAAAAAAAATTAATAAAATATATTAAAAATAAAAAAGATTAGCCAGAGAAAGATTTGATGAATTTTACATAAAACTCAAAAGGGTTCATAAGTTGGAAACATAAAACTTTAAGGGTCGGACAGTTATGAATGAGTGCACCATTAATAAAATGCTTTGGATTTGAGAAGTACTTAACAGAAATAGACTGTGAGGTTACAAATGGTTAGCAAAATCCTAACATTATTGTAGAATCTCCCACAATAAATTCGTTGCAAATTCCTAAAAATGCCAACAGGATGTGAGAAAGAAAAAAAAAAAAAAAAGGATAGTTGATGGGGTGCATGAACTCACTGGACCAGGAGCTGCATTTTCTTAAATATATATATATATTTTATTATTGATTTTTTTACAGAGAGGAAGGGAGAGGGATAGAAAGTTAGAAACACCGATGAGAGAGAAACATTAATCAGCTGCCTCCTGTACACCCCCCACTGGGGATGTGTCCACAACCAAGGTACATGCCCTTGACCGGAATCGAACCTAGGACCTTCCAGTCCACAGGCCGACGCTCTATCCACTGAGCCAAACTGGTTTCGGCAGGAGCTGCATTTTAAGCAAATTGATTATTAGGCCAGTTTCCCCACAGCCTCCACAGGCTCAGGATGTTAGGTTTCCGTAAACTACATCTCTGGTGTCTCCTCTCTTCCTTTTTCTTCTTCTTATTTTTAAAATATATTTTATTTATTTTTTACAGAGAGGAAGGGAGAGAGAGAGCTAGAAACATCGATGAGAGAGAAACATCGACCAGCTGCCTCTTGCACACCCCCTACCGGGGATGTGCCCGCAGCCAACATACATGCCCCTGACCGGAATCGAACCTGGGACCTGTCAGCCCGCAGATCGACACTCTATCCACTAAGCCAAACCAGTTTCGGCTTCTCTTTTCTTATTTTAATTGTCCTCATGCATATGGATCTCTCCTTATAAGCTATATTAAAATCGCCGGGAACGGTAGGCGGCTTATAAATAATAAATGATACATCCACTCACGCGCCCGTCTCTCGCCTTGCAGAGAACAGCCCATATTCACCACACGGGCGCACGTCTTCCAGATCGACCCCACCACCAAGAAGAACTGGGTGCCTGCGAGCAAGCAGGCCGTCACCGTGTCCTACTTCTACGATGTCATCAGGAACAGCTACCGGATCATCAGCGTGGATGGAGCCAAGGTACCGCCCCGCGGGCCGGTTTTAACGTTCACGGTCACGTGTGTTTCGTCCAAAGCCAGGTGATGGAGTTGGGAAGTGGCGGGAAAAGGATGCACCCCCGATCCTGCCACCTCCCCACAGGTGTTATTGTGAGAATTAATGTCTTATAATCACATATCCTGCCTTTTATATATATTATTGATATTTTACAGAGAGGAAGGGAGAGAGATGGAGAGCTACAAAAGTCGATGAGAGAGAATCATCCATCAGCTGCCTCCTGCACACTCCCCACTGGGGATGTGCCCGCAACCAAGGTACATGCCCTTGACCGGAATCGAACCCGGGACCTTTCAGTCCACAGACGACCCTCTACCACTGAGCCAAACCGGTTTCGGCTCCTGCCTTTTTAAAAAATATATATATTTTGTTGATTTTTTACAGAGAGGAAGGGAGAGGGATAGAGAGTTAGAAACATGAGAGAGAAACATGGATCAGCTGCCTCCTGAACACCTCACACTGGGGATGTGCCCACAACCAAGGTACATGCCACCGACTGGATTTGAACCTGGGACCCTTCAGTCTTCAGGCTGATGCTCTATTCACTGAGCCAAACCAGTTAGAGCTGTTTTGTTTTGTTTTTTGTTTTGTTTGGTTGTTTTCATTTAATATGATGGCAAATGAAGAAAAAATATTTCCCTGGTACCACATTGTCTTTATAACTCGCATTTCAATGTCTGTGTGATCATCGCACCAACACTCTATAATGTCCTTAATCTCTCCCTTTATGGTTAGATATTTAAGTGGCTCCCAGTTTTTTGCTACTATAGATAGTGAGCATCTTCCACGCAACCAATGACCTCAATTGATCATCGAACAGACCTATTGCTTTCTTTTGGACATTTCCTTAGGACAGATTGCTGGAAATAATATATTAACACTTTATAGTTATTTTTAAATATATATTTTTTATTGTTGATGTGTTACAGATATCTCCCATTTCCTTTCCCCTTTCCTTCCTCCTCCCAGCCACCCCCAGGTCTTTATTTTCTGTATGCATGGGCTATACATATGTACACTAATAAAAGAGTAAGATGCAAATTAACCATACCTTCACAACACCCACCAGCCAATCAGGAGGGGGCATGCAAATTAACCCAACAGAGATGGCAGGTTAATTTGCATATGCAGGTGCCTGGTGGCTGGGATGGGGCGTTGTGTGTTGCCCCAGCTGCTCTGGGTCTCAGGCAGAAAGGCAGCTTTGGGCTGGAGCGAAAAGGGGGCTCTGGCCAGAGTGAAGGCGGTGCCGACAGGCAGCCAAGGGAAGGAAGGCTCATTCTTGCACGAATCTTCACTCATCAGGCCTCTAGTAGGTATATAATTCTCGTCCCCGAACTCCACAAGCCAGTCTGTCCCATGCCTCTCTGCTTCAGATCTTTTTTTTTTTTTTTTAAATATATTTTATTGATATTTTACAGACAGGAAGGGAGAGAGATAGAGAGCCAGAAACGTCGATGAGAGAGAAACATCGACCAGCTGCCTCTTGCACACCCCCTACTGGGGATGTTCCCGCAACCCAGGTACATGCCCTTGCCCGGAATCAAACCCGGGACTTTTCAGTCTGCAGATCAATTCTCTACCACTGAGCCAAACTGGTTTCTGCTTCAGATCTTATTTTGTTGGTCAATTCATTTTGTTCATTAGATTCCACAAATGAATGAGGTCATGTGATATTTGTCTCTCTCAGTTTGCCTTAGTATAATATTTTCACTTAGTATAATATTTTCCAGGTCCCTCCACGCTGTCCCAAAGGGTCAGAGAGCCCTCTTTTATTTATTTTTATTTTTTACTGCTGCACAGTATTCCACAGTGTAAATGTCCCACAGCGTTTTTATTCACGCATCTACTGATGGGCACTCGGGCTGTTTCCAAATCTTAGCTATTGTACACAATGCTATGAACATAGGGGTGCATATATTCTTTCTGATAGGTGTTTTGGGTTTTTTAGGATATATGCCCAGAGGTGGGATCGCTGGGTCAAACAGCAGTTTCACTTGTAATTTTTTGAGGAAAACTCCACACTGTTCTCCACAGCGGCTGCAGCGGTCTGCATTCCCACCAGCAGTGCACGAGGGTTCCCTTTTCTCCACATCCTCGCCGGCACCTGTCGTTTGTTGATTTGTTGGTGACAGCCATTCTGACAGGCGTGAGGGGATATCTCAATGGGGTTTTAATTTGCATTTCTCTGATGATTAGTGACTTTGAACATTTTTTTCATGTGTCTCTTGGCCTTCTGTATGTCCTTTTGAGAAATATGTATTCCACTTGTTATAGTTGTATTCCACTTTTTAAAAAAATATATTTTATTGATTTTTTACAGAGAGGAAGAGAGAGGGATAGAGAGTTAGAAACATCAATGAGAGAGAATCATAGATCAGCTGCCTCTTGTACACCCCTACAAGTGATGTGCCCGCAACAAAGGTACATGCCCTTGACCTGAATCGAACCCAGGATCCTTCAGTCCGCAGGCCGACGCTCTACCCACTGAGCCACACTGGTTTTGGCACATTATAGCCCTTAATGGATGTTGCCAACTTGCTCCCCAAAGAGGCCTTTCTTCCAGCGTATGTGAGAATGCCAGTTTAGTGCACCCTTGGCAGCACTGGGTATCGTAGCAAATCTGGTTTTGATGTTCTTAGGCATAGGAATTGATTTTTAAAAATATATATTTTATTGATTTTTTTTTACAGAGAGGAAGGGAGAGGGATAGAGAGCTAGAAACATTGATGAGAGAGAATCATCCATCAGCTGCCTCTTGCACTCCCCCCGCTGGGGATGTGCCAGCAACCAAGGTATATGCCCTTGACCGGAATCGAACCGGGGACCCGTCAGTCCGCAGGCCGACGCTCCATCCACTGAGCCACACCGGTTTCAGCTATATTTTATTGATTTTAGAGAGAAAGGGAGAGAAAGAAGGAAACAGAAACATCCATGATGAGAGAGAATCACTGATCGGCTGCCTCCTGCACGCCCCACACTGGAGATTGAGCCCACACCCTGGGCATGTGCCCTGACCGGGAATCGAACTGTGACCTCCTGGTTCATGGGTTGACACTCAACCACTGGGCCACACTGGCCGGGCTGACCTTTTGACGAGGCTCCGGTTTAAGGCAAGATTATCCCCTCAGCCTGCGCTCTCTGAGCCTCCTCTTAGATGAAAGCGGCTAAGATTGATGCAGCTTGGCCTGCGATGAAGGTGACCAGACATCTTTCCAAAAATCTGGACTTTTTTAAAACGCCACGGGACGCGGGACAAATTGTTAAAAATCGGGACTGTCCCGTCAAAAGCGGGACGTCTGGTCACCTTACCCATGATGCTTTCTCATCCTCCCAGTTGCCACAGCCCTTCCTCCTTGGCAGGAAGGAGGCCTGGAGTTCTCGCTTTACAGCTCGGGGGTCAGGGAGAGGCCGTGCCGGGGCCTGCCTGTGCCCAGGTCCTTCAGGTCGCAGCAGGCGTCCCTGGCTGGCAGGGCGGCATCCTGGCACCGCGTCACGCAGGCCACGCGTCAGGAACAGCCGGTCTGGCCAGCGTGTCCACGGAGGTGGAGGAACTGGTGTCCCCGTCTGAGCAAGCCGGACGGCAGGTCTTGGCTGGCTTCTGGTGAGCCTGGCACTTGTGTCTGAGGACTGAGTATCTGAAAGGTGCCTTCACATTTTTTTCTTCCGGGAGAGACGGTGATGCCACAAGTGTATTGTGTCACCGCATCCTGCTCTGGGCTTTTTTATTAAAAATATATTTTATTGATTTTTTTACAGAGAGGAAGGGAGAGGGATAGAGAGCTAGAAACATCGATGAGAGAGAATCATCCATCAGCTGCCTCCTGCACACCTCCCACTGGGGATGTTGCCCGCAGCCAAGGCGCATGCCCTTGAACGGAATCGAACCCGGGACCCTTCAGTCAGTAGGGCGACGACGCTCTATCCACTGAGCCACACCGGTTTCGGCTCGCTCTGGGCTTTTGAGCCGGCATCTCCGGCCTCGGCCAGGATGTTCCGATGGGGGTCGGCGGTGAGTCAGAATCCCTGGCTTTCTTTTATCCATCGATTGTGTCGCTTCATCCGCCATCCCTCAGAGGGGCTGGCACCGCTGTCAGTTGAGTTATCCAAGGATAGATGGAGCTTAAATACAGATAAAGTGACTGGCTTAGGGGAAGTGCTTCTGTTCGATTAGCTGGGCTTTTCATCATCTGTCAAAGTGTCAGCCACGGCATTGCGTGGCTCCGTGGGCTCTGAAGGCTGTGACAGGCCGCTGGGTCCCGGCCGGACGCACCGGCTGTGAGCGATCAGAGGGGCGCAGGAGGGCGGGCTGACCCCTCGCCGCAGAATGAGGCTGATTTAGACTCAGCATCGGGGATCGGTCAAGTCCCAGAATCACCTAAAAAGTGGGCATCGAATTACTGCCGAAACCGGTGTTGCTCAATGGATAGAGCATCAGCCTGCAGACTGAAAGGTCCCCAGGTTCTATTCCGGTCAAGGGCATGTGCCTTGGTTGCGGGCACATCCCCAGTGGGGAGTGTGAAAGAGGCAGCTGATCGATGATTCTCTCACATCGATGTTTCTGACTCTTTATCCCTCTCTCTTCCTCTCTGTAAAAAAAAAAAAAAAAAAAAAAAAAAAAAAATATATATATATATATATATTTTTTTTTTTTTTTTTAAAGTGGGCATTGGAAATCCAGGCCATGCCCCCCCTCCCTCCAGGAATTCAGAGAGGGAGCCCGCGGCTCTCAGACCACCCCTCCCATAGCACCTGCCGCCTTCTCTTCCCGGTTCCACCCAGAGTCCCAGGCACAAGACCCATGACAGGGCCACATTCTGCAAATGGGGGCATTTTATGTGGCAGCCAAGGCCCAGGGGATTGTGGGAAGGCGGGGACGGATGGGCCTCAGTCATTTACTTACTGTGGCTGCCCCTCGGGGCCAAGGCTGGGGAGCAAGGGTCCTGCCTTGAGGACCGGAGCAGAGC